CCATCAGAAAACGTTGGTTTCTGCCCTCAGACTATAGAGGATTCTTAGTTGTTACCTATCTGTAGTCATTCAAGACATTTTTCAAGAAAGAATAGTTTTCATTTTCAATATGTTGGCACACACTTGGAGACTACAAAAAGCAGTGTCTTTAATAACACTGAAGGGTAATTCCTATGAGGCCACTAAGTAGAATATAAGTCTTGGGTTTCTTTAGATCTCTGGATCTTCAACATTTCAACTTTCAGATTTGATTTTTTTTTGGGGGGGGGGACAGGTCCTGCTCTGTCACTCAGGCTAGGGTGCACCAGAGTGCAGTGGCATCATCATAGCTCACTGTAACCTCAAACTTCTAGGCTCAAGGGATTCTGCTGCCTTAGCCTCTGGGGTAGCTGGGACTACAGGCTTGCACCACCATACCTAACTATTGTTTTTTATTTATTATTTTTTTATTTTTTTCTAGAGATGAAGTCTCACTATGTTATCCAGTCTGGTCTTGAACACTTGGCCACAAGTGATCCTCCCGCCTTGGCCTCCTAAAATGCTGGGATTACAGGTTTGAGTCACCATGCCTGGCTCAAATTTATTTAAATGTCATGTTCCAACTAAACCTGAACATATCAAATCTATTTACCCCAACTCACCACTTTGGAAAGATATAATATTTCCCAGGCTATTATTTTGAATAGTATTCCTAAAACTCTGATTCCTACCTTGATATCCCTCTCTTTCTCTTTCTGCTCTCTCTCTCTCTAATGGTACTTGGAAATAAGTTAAAATTATCAGGGAATAGAAACCAATATTATTATCTAATTTCAGATACCTGACATCCCTGACGTGACCAAATATGTCCTAAATATATACTTTCTATGCTCAGATCAAAGTCCAGTTCTAAGTGCGAAGCTCTAAACTAGCAGGTGTAGTATCTTTGTAGATTCCAAGGGCAAGGCTATGAATTTTTTACTTTTACATGTATTTTTTTATTGTTCTTAAAAGTCGGATATCATAAATCTGCTAGTTTGAAAAAAAATAAAAATCTGCAGCTTTTTGAATAGTGGCCCTTGTATTTCGATTTAAACCAAATGGGACCAAACTTATTACTTCTATTCTGAAAGGTCATTTTTCATCAAGGTTGTATTAGAAATAAATCATTTAAAGCTATCCTTCGGATAGTTTCTTGCATGAATGTCTTAAGAAGAACACGGAATAAGAGCTTCTTTGCAAAGCAAAGCTTGTTTGTCAATCCAGAATGGTCTGAAGCTGCCACCTTCTGGCACTCAGGCGATATTTCTCTGAATTCAGTATTCTGCTGAAGTGACACGACATCATTACAACCTGCACAGTGCCCCCATCAATATCAAAGAGAGATCTGTAAGCTCAACAAAGGCAAAATGCTAACATTGTGCATTCATGTGTGTGTGTGTGTGAGAAATATTAAAACACTATTAATAGAAATAGTCTGGTAGAATTCTAAGAACCGCACAAGTTTCTATTAAAATAAGGCAAGCTCTAACATTTGAGATCAGAGCATGCTTCTCTCCCTAGAAAGCTAAAAGTTCGCGTGGAATGGAAGTTCTCAATACAGTTGTTTTGGTGTTCTCTCGTTTTAGCAGAATAAATCACGACATGGTACTTTATCAATGGCCTGCTTTGAGCTTAGTCAAATTAATTCCTTACTGAAGAAGCATATTTTAAAGTTAGAAAATACTTATTAATATAAACCAAAATATTAACAGTTAGCCCTACTTACCAAATATTTGGAAATAAAAATATTAAATGTTAAAATATTTTAAGTGCATTTATCAATTTTTCTGATTATCAAAGGTAAAATTAAGTCTTTTTGATTATATCAATAATTCATGACAGATGATAGCTTTTCATTTTAGAATAAACTGTTAGGATAATTAAGGAGCAAAGCCCAGAGCCGGAATAAATGGGTCAAATGTGAAAACCCACTGAGTTCCATGAATGACCACTTTCTTGTTTTTCTGAGAAGGCCATTTTCTTTTTGAAACAGTCAAAAGAATAAATTAAAAGCTTTACTCTTTTTTTCATTTTCCTATCTTTCGTATAATGCTTTTCTCCAAGTGAAGGGCAGCAGGGTTAAATATTTAGAATGAATAAACTAGCTCCAAGAAAAGGAACTGGCAACTTCTTCTGTGATGCTGAGTAATTAAATAGACCCACAGAGCCTGCTGGAATTAGAGAACATAAGCAAAGATTAATGAGGCCTGAAAACGTAGGGTCCCACAGTCTCCAAACAATGTGCAAAGCGCCTCACCTCAGCTTTCTCCACGTTTAACAGCTGCCTGTTTTCAAGGCAAGCAAAACTGTGTTTGTTTCTGCTTTGATTCAGAAACAGTGTGGTTTATTAAATATAATAAAATTGTAAAATCTATGACAAAGAATTTAGATTTATCTGTTTTGGTTCCCAGATCATGGTAGTTAGCATTGCTTTCTGCTCTAGACTGCAGAGTGGGTGTATCTGTTCTGAGTGTGTTTCCTGGTTTCCTTTCTAATGTGGGTGGTCAACAACCAGGATCTTAATACAGAGTACCATTTATTTGCAGCAGTCAAAATAGAAGATATAATATATCTTCATTTCTCTTCTCCTATTGCTAAGACTAACGAGAGGTAGAGTCAGGGAGCTTTGAAGGTCTTTGATATCTTTGGTGAAGGAAACAGTGACTGCAATAAAAAAAACGATTTTCTCAAATTAATTCTAGATTCATGGTTACTGCTAATGCCAAATAGTCATCCCAAGAAGAACAGAGAAAAATTGGTTTGATCTTAATTTTAGGTAGTTATAAGAGCACACAACAACCCCATTTGACTTCATTGTCACAAGGACTTCATTTACATAATATGCCTTTTCTTGCCATCAGAAATTGGGACCTCTTCTAGGGACTTCTGAAATGTTTTTAGCCCCTTTTAATATACATACATTTAAATTAGGATTTCTGCATGTTCAAATTCAGTTTAGTGTTTTTGGATTATCCATCTCCTTATCATAAATATTTACTAAATTCAAACCAATCAAATGTAAAATTAAATAGGGATTTTTAGTGCTTACCCAGCATGGTTTAATATACACTCATACTGAAAACACCAAAAAGTTCAATCAATGGCGGACACCATCCTATAAGCCATATAGCACAAGCAGTAGGACTTGTGAATGGTAATTGTTTTCTCATATTATATTATCTATGTTAAGTGTATTTAAGGCTTCCTTTTTAAAGGACTTGATACCTCCTACCCTTTGCCATTTTCTATAGACTCTTAAAAATTCCTTGGCCACATTTTCTCTATCTTTCTCTGTATGAAATAAAGATTTACCCATCCAACAAAATTGTACATTTCATGACACTTTTAACTCTCATATATAGTCTGTTCATTTAGTATGTAGTATGTACAGTGTCCATTTAATAACATATAGTGTGTTCATTATAAACATTTATAGTCATTCTATAGGGGCTATAGAATGACTATAGTCATTCTATCATCTTATTTAGGGGCAAGAATATTGCTTTTGAATTATAAATAATTTCATTATAAAATGTAACAAAATATGTTCATGAAAGGAAATGTTCTTTAAATGAGAAACCTTTGGAATCACTCTTGGTAAGGAATGTTGAGAGACTTAGAGATTCTAGTCCTTCTCCCTTTCCTACTAAATTATAATCATATCATATCATTTCCCCTATTTTCAGTAAAGGTTCTTTGCATTACTTGAGTTTATATTAATATGTAAGAAAGGTCAACTTAGTTCTATATGGTATTCTCAACCAGCCTCTTTAGAGATATATTTGTAATTTTTTTCATTAAAAGAAACAACGAAACTTTCTCTCCCTCTTTCTCTCTCTGTCTGTCTAATTCTGTTTGTTTGGAAATTTTTTAAAAATATGTTTAAATAATCACATGATAAATATAAATAAAGTAGATAATTGAAATATAGGTAATTTAAATTCTTACATTTTTGGTTTTGTCGTAAATACCATTTAACATGCTATAAATGTAGCAGACTACAATTTAGGATCAGACTACAGTTTATATTTAAATAAGTAGAAACATTTTAAACACATTTTTATTAAATTTGGTTACTTAAAAGATGAATATAAGATAAGGGATCTCTTTGAGTTTTAAGAACTTGCAAACATTTATTGACCAGGCGCATCATTAGGAAAAAAAAGTTTCTGAGCAAGCATTACTAGAGTGTGTAAATGTACTTGCTTACACATGATATATACTAAGCACTCTGTTAATATATTTTTTATAAATTATATACCAAAATGAGCAATTTTCAATAGTTGGGGAAAGATTAATAATATTTCAATGATTTTAATTCTTATTTAAATAGCCAACTATTTCCAAAATATTGATTGAGGAGAATTTTTTTTCAATCTAAGTTTTTAAAGTCTTTGTGGTAAAGCAATTCGAATATCTGATTTTAAGAAGTGTATTCTGGTACTTAGTTTGATAGCTGTCATAGTTAGAAAAAGTTATGCAGACTTAAATAAAAAGTCATCATTGGCTGTTCTTAATTAAGGTATACATTTTTTATTTTCAGCAACAGCTTATTCAAAAAATTTGCTGGAATAAAGCTAGTAAATAAATATCCTTCTTAATATCAGTCAGCTGTTCTGACAAACTACTTATAATAGGATTCGTTTTATATAAATACTTGCAAAATCAATAACAACTTTTCATTTGTTTAAGCAGGTAATACAATTCTACTTTCAAATGTTTTAAGTGTGCATCTAGGAAAGACTGTTTATAACTTTACATCATTTTGGTATCAAAATCACCTAAAGATCCCAAAGCTCCCAGCCATATCTCTTCAAAACTGTCTTTTTTTCCCCATGATATAAGTTATCACTTCACTCACTGGTTAACGTATCACAGATACATCTTTTTGGATTTTGCAATTATGATTTAGGAGTCTCCAGTGTATATTTTTCTTGTTTACTAAGTGGCACAATCTCACACCCCTGTTGTCTGTTGAGGCCTGCTAACCACAGGACACACCTTGGAAGGAGTCTTAAGTGCAGGTGGAAGTGGAGGTACGGCCTGCAAGTGTGATCTGTTACAAAAAACTGCATGACGTGGTTTCAGCTCAGGCTGATGAGTGCTCTCCTGCCATCCTGAGTATAGTTCTTTTAAACAGGTAAGTGTTATGTTTAAATGACAAGCCTGTGGTAATTTCCCCCCATCGCAACATTATTGTGGGAGGTGGGGTGAGAATTTCCTTACTCTGGGATTCACTTGTCTGGAAAATGGTTAGTTAAAAAAAAAAAAAAAAAACTTTAAAAAATAATATATTTAATTGCATTTAAAGATTAGTGAAAATAGTCTCTCATCCTCACTAATTAGGTTGCAGAAAAGCTCTTTTAAATGAATAAAATAAAAATTAAGATGTAAATGAGAAATTCTGAACCCTAAGCCTTGTTTAGTAATTTTGCTATATGCCTTTTTTCCATCACAAATGGTAAAAAGGTCACACATGATTGAAAAGCCCATCAGAGTGAATATCAGATTCAACAATACAATAACATGGAGATAGAAATGTACAATTCAGCTGACAGCATCGTTTGGTTATTCGATGTTTGTCAGCTCCCAGAAACCTTATCTTTATTTGGAAGTACCTACTTAAATATTCTTCAATGACTTCCTCTCACAACACAAGCATCATTGTGCATTTAATGCGATTTCCTGCTGTCTCTTGGAAAGAATGAAAAAGAGTTCAAATCAAGATGTGAAATGATGTGAAAGGCATATCAAAAAGCCAATGGCAACGCTTTAAAAATTGCTTTTATATTTCAATAACACTACTAAACTGACAAGAAATATTTAAGTACAATCTATAAAATAGACACATAACAAACTTCTATAGATGACTACATATTTTGAAGAAGGGGAAATAGAATTTCTTAGATTTTTTTCTTTTTAATTTTGGGAAGAAAAAACTAAAATCTTCGTTGAATGAGTTCTACATGCACAATAGATTTGTTCTCCATCACCCAGAATGGGAATCAAGATTTCTTGATAAGTTGCTGCTTCCTCAATCTATTTGATGCAAGCATAAACAAGACAGCAACAAATAGATAAGAAAATAGTGCCAGACTATATTTCCTTGAAAATTATTTCCACACAGTATACTAAACAAATCGCATCCCCTAGGAAATAAGAATTGGCAAGAATGAGAACATTGCCCTGATAATTTAGTTTCAAACCTTTTAAAATTCAAGAGTTAATAAATGAGGGCCTCGGTTCTCCAAACCAAGTGACATCTTAGGAGACATGATCTGGCCAGGTTTTAATTCATGATGTCATGATTATACCCCTCTTGTTGAGTGACTGCCAGGCTGGGTCAGGTACAATCTGAAGTCCCCTCAAATGGTTTACCACGACCACATTGACATTGGCCTAAGTCTCAAGAGCAGCAAGTCTAGGAGTGCCCCTTTTACCTCCAGGCCCCTAATATTATATTTCAGAAAGATAAATAAAGTTCAAGTTAATTAAAAATGATGAAGAGTAGATTGGTAAGGTGTATTTGTTTTCTTGTTGTTGCTTGTATTATATATTTGAATGTTTTATAGTAACTTTACAAACTTCAAAGAAAACATATATTTTCTTATGTATTCATCAGTACCAATTTTTATTTACTACTCATTGCAGTAGGATTGTGCTAGACACTGAAAGACCTATCGAGCAATACCTAGTCCCTAACTCAGGGAGTTTTTATTCTAGAATGAGAAACCGACGAGTAAGCGGCAATTCAGTTAAGTGTCGTAATGTGTGTAGTGAAAGACAAACTGGGAAAATTTTTTAAATAAATTGTTGAGTCAGTTTAGGTTGGGAATGAGATAAGTCAGAATGGACTTTCTCATGGGAGTGATATTCAGAAGCCTTTATTGAAGATGATGCAGAAGAAGATGAGAGGAAGAGAGGGTTCCAGATGATGCACATTGTTCCTAATACATTGAGCACAGGACACTGAAGGATGAGACATGAGAAGTATTTCAGTTTGGCTGGATGATAGATATTGAGAGGGCAATGTGGCAAAAGAGAAAACTGAAGAGATAAGCACAGGCCTTGAATTGTTGTTTTAAAGTTTGTACTTTATTATGAAGGTAGAAATAAGCTTGCTTATATCACTGACGGGCATTATTATATGTATTATACAAAAGGGAATTTGAGATTTAAAGATCATATGTGATATGTGAATTTTCAAGATAATTTAGCATATCAGTCTGGGTTCTTGCAGGAAACAAAAGGCACACTTAACCTGGGTAACTGAGGAGAGTTGAATAAAGGGACTATTGCCAAAGGGACTATTATTTTTCAAGCTGTAGGGACAGCCCCAAGATGCCCATCTAAGCAGGAAGTCCTTGTTATCTCCAGGCTTAATGGGCCAAGGAGAGAGAGTAATTACCAAAAGGCAGCAAGAAAAAAATGTGTGGAGAGGGCCAACTGAAATTTGGTAAAGGGAAGCCGTGTACCCACAGTGCACAGAAGGAAGGGAGCAAGGGAAATAAAAGCCTGGACCCTGCTTTGCATTGGTTGAACCAATCTGGAAACACAGGGTAAGGGAACCGTTTGATGCAGTCTCAGGACACAAAGCATGGTGGAGGAAGGTGGACAGAGGATCTGAAGAGACACAAAGGACAAGCAAGAAATCCATAGCAGAGCTCAAACCTAAGCCTGGCTCTCTGTCTCCAATTCCCAAGTCGTTAGATATAGTGTAAAATACACACACATTAGTATATGTGTGCATGTGTATAAAATTATCAAGAGCAGAAGTTACCTTTATAGGCCAGTATTCTTTTTCCATTTTTATATAAATAAGAAAGCCTATTAATGAGCTATTAAAAGAGTAGAATTGTCAAAAAAATATGAACTGCTGGATAATTAAGAACTATGCCATAGAATTTGGACAGTAGAAATTACCTTTATATTTCTGCAAAGAATAAGTGGTCTTGGTGCTTCAAGCAATAATAGAAAAGAATAAATTTATATTCATTTAAAATGGAAATAGCTATTAGAATACCTTCAAGTTCACAAAAGAATTTCTAACATAATTAGAATTCATGCAATTTCAAATTCATTTACTTTACTGGTAAACTAATTTACCAGTTAAAAAAAAAAATGAAAAGAAAGCCTTAAGGAAGAAAAAAATTTGTCTTATTATTTCTTTTTTCTTTTAAAATACTGTGTGCCTTTCAATTTTAAATAGACACTTAATTTCTCATATTACTCCTTAGATAAATTTAATAAAAGTTTTAATTGCATACTTTATTTTCAAAAACTGATACTTACCCAAATATGATATACAATAAAATGAAAAAAAAAGTATGAAAGTAAATCAATTAGTTTAATTATGAAAAAGATTCTTCTCCATGAAGCATGAAGCATGCTATATATATTTCTTCTAGGTGGAATAACAAAATTGATGTACAGGACAATGCACAGAGAACTGGACTGGAAATTATTTTAGTTCTAGTAAGGTATAAACTAGGTTGTTAACATGTTCAATTCACCTAACTTCCCCAAGTCTCCGTTTCTTCCTTCAGAAATTGAGGGAGTTAAAAAGATGACCAACAAGATTCACTCCAGCTCTTAAATCCTCTGATTCCTGAATAGTTAAAACAGCCATGTCTGCAATTAAAGACATTATACCAGTAACCCAGGACTGAAGAGCCCTGGATTATTCCACTTAGATATTGTTAAAAAAAATTAAAACTCTAAGTCAAAGTTTATTTGCATGTGAAATAGGGACAATAATAATAATAATAATAAAAAACCCTTCATAGAATTGTTGAGAAAATTAAATGAAAAAAAAAACATGTGAAGCGATTCTGAAAGATAGCTAATATTTCTATATAAGAAAAGTAATAAATACTCTCCCTCCATGAATCTGAAAGATAGCAATAAACATTCCCTACTCTATTTCTGTAGCTACTTGATGAGAGCAGTTTTTATCTCACTGAGTGCTGCTCCCAGTCCCTCAGGGACTACATTTGCTGGAGGAATTACATGTGTTTTATGGTTTCCCTATGTTTGATCAGTACTATCATATTCACTAGAGCAAGAAAATGAAAAGTATAAACATAGAAATGCTACTGAAGATAAAATGGCAGACTAACAGGAGCTGCTGTCTTCCTCTTCAAGCCCCTCCTCACCCAAACTCATTCCAGTGGTGTGTCCAAGTTTACAAATTGGAAAAGGTAGTGAAAACCTGTAAGAATCTCTCAGGGATACAGATGTGTTTGAATTTGAGTCCCTTTATAAGATGGTAATGCCCACAGTGGAAGAGGGGCAGGTAATACTGGGAAGCTTCCCTTGGGGAAAACATTCTCAGTTGCATTTCTTTTTTTCTTTTACTTGTGTTTTCCCTGGAAGGATCATCACCTGCCCTCTGCTATAGAAAAGGCTGAATAAACACCTGCTGGAGCCCTGCTCTTCTGGGGAAATGGGACAGTAACCTCAGGTGATACCAATTCTTGCTGGAGTGAGTGAATAAAGGTGTTAGTGTTTCTCATGGCCCTCAATGGCTCCCTCCACCACCTCTACTCCAGCACACAAACCCAAGGCTCTGTAAACTCTTAAAATTAGGACATGAATCTAAGGGGCAAGGTCTCTGAAGAAGCAACTAGAGAATGACCGATCTCTGATAACACTTGCAGAGACTCTCTACTTTGAAGTTCAATGCTTTCCCACTCGTAACTCTCCAGCCAGCACACAAAGCTAGGATCCAGGCTTTTAGCCCTCTGGGAGGGCAAATACTATGTAACTAATGCAGAAAAAAATATTAGCTCTCAGGGGAAAACCACAAGGCTTCTTATGTCAACAGAGCATAATTATTACAAAAGAAAGTAATCATACCAAAGCACATATAAATGATAAAGCCAAATTTGAGTTCCATATGGAATAAGAATTAAAATAAGGACACTGAATATTCTCAAAGAGTAAGAGAAAATGGTAATGCAATTTATGAACAAGGATTTATAAGAATACAATTGGAAATATAGGGTATAGAAACATTAATTTTTATAAATCCCTGAAAAGAAATGTTGAATAACCAAATGAGCACAGCAGAAGAATATGTCAAGGAACTGGAAGGTCAGATGAAGAAATTTTTCAGGAAGTATCAGAAAGGGATGAAGAAATTATAATGTCAAGTTAAGACACAGGCATAGAAGCAAGTGAAAATAGAATTGTCAAAATCTATATAGAGACAGTCATAAAAATAATAAAATAATGAAGAGGAAAAATATCTGAAATAAATATTAACTCAGAAATATCTAAAGCTAAGAAAAATTAAAAAGTACATTGGCAGGAGGGTAAGAGGAAATCCTAAATACTTGTAAATTGCCAAGTAGGATGTACAAGAAGAATGAGACCTAAACAAAAATAGTGAAATCTTAAGAATTTCAAAATAAAGAGAAACTTCTAAACACTTCTGGAGAGAAAGACAAGAAAGAATTATGAAATTTGCAACAGATTCCTCAACTGCAATATGGATTGCAAGAAGAAAATGGTATAATATATACAAAGCACTCAAGGAGAATAACAACAGATTCGGAATTTTATGTCTAACTAAAGTAGCATTTAAATACTAAATACCAGAATGAAATAAACATTTTGGGTCATAAAAGGCTTCAGGGTGTTTTCACACAAATGACACCTTTGAAACAATCTTACAATATTTTAAGAAATAAAAAGAGATTAATTCAAAAGATATATTAGAGACAAAGATAAGAAAATAACTTGGGGAAAAAATGGCCAACAAACATATGAAAAGATGGTCAACATCTCTAATCATCAGGGAATTGCAAATCAAAACCACAGTGAGGTATCACAAATGAACTAAGACAATAGTCACTATGGCATGCATCTAGTTTCTAGTTTTGCTAGTCAATATTTCCTACTCCCAATTAAAAAATATGTATACATATATATATTAGATGTGTATTCTTTTGGCTCTGTGGAAAAGAGTCTGTATTTTATCTAGGAAACATTATTTTCATATCAAGATGAATTCCTGTGTATGTACCCTAAATATTGAAGCTAACTAGACTGGAAAATTTTAGGAGTTTGGGCTTAACAAGAGTTGCTTAGGTCAAGAGGGCTCCATGCTCATGAATGCATTAATACTGCTATGAAAGGGTTTGCAGGAGTGTGTTTTTGCACTGGTACAAGAACAGGGACATTGACCAGTGGAACAGAACCAAGAACCCAGATGTAAAATCATCCTCATATAGCCAACTAATCTTTGACAAAGCAGACAAAAACATACACTGGGGAAAAGAATCCTTATTCAATAAATGGTTCTGGGAAAATTGGATAGCCACATGTTTCAGAAGACTGAAACAAGACCCACACCTTTCACCTCTTGCAAAAATCAACTCACTCTGGGTAACAGACTTGAACCTTAGGTGTCAAACAATTAAAATTCTAGAGGAAATACTCTTCTAGACATTGGCCTAGGCAAAGAATTTATGAAGAAGACCCCAAAGGCAATCACAGCAGAAACAAAAATAAATAAATGGGACCTGATCAAATTAAAAAGCTTCTGCACAGCCAAAGAAACTGTCAAGAGAGCAAACAGACAACCCACAGAATGGGAGAAAATTTTCACAAGCTACACATCTAATAAAGGGCTGATAACTAGAATCTATTTAGAACTCAGGAAAATCAGCAAGAAAAAATCAAACAACCCTATCAAAAACTGGGCAAAGGACATGAATAGAAACTTCTCAAAAGAAGACAGAATAATGGCGCCAACAAACATATGAAAAAATACTCAACATCTCTAATCATCAGGGAAATGCAAATCAAAACCACATCAGATATCACTTAACTCCAGAGAGAATGGCCTTTATCAAATTGTATGAAGACTTTTAACCACTTCGGTAAGGCGCTCACATGCTGTGAAACCTTGCCCACAGCTGGAACTCATAGTCCGCACGATAGTTTGTGCTGTGCATTGACGACGAATCCGTTTTGTTCTTGTGTGATGAGGAAAGCTTTTAAAGCACTGAAAGCTTGTTTTACTTTACAGGCAGGTTTACTTGTAATGTAAATCAGAATAGGTAACATATACATATATGGTTTTATTTCATTATTTTTAAATGTTCACAATTTTATTTTGATAAATGAAAAATTAGAAAAATCATATCTCGGTTGTCAGCTAAAGTCACTGTGTGCGTTCATCTGTGGCTGTCGACTATAGTCGATGCTGGTACCGAAGTGGTTAAAGAGTTCTAATTTATTTTATGCACTTTTTGTAAATCTCATACCATGAAAGTATATTATCACAATGTTGACTTTGTATGTAAGCATTGTGTATGTATATGAAAACATTAAATCTTCCTCAGTAAATGAAGAGATGTTATAACAGAGGTAAAGTTCTAAAAGAGGACAGTGAAATGTTTCATGAGTTGCCTCTTTAAAACCCTTTTCTTTTTTGGGAATTAAAACTGGCATTCGTTTTTGAAGCCAGTGATCCAAAGGGCAGAAAACTGTTATTTACTGTTTGTTTTCTATTGTCTTAAACTGCAGGAGAAGGCTCAACAGAATTGTCCAGACAAGGATCACAAGATCTTCCACACCAGAGATAAAGTTGCAATGACCCAAGACCCCTGAAACCACTGATTGTAGTTAAGCAACAATAGCCTGAAGCCATGCCATGTGACACCAGTCATGTAGACCTGAAACTAACCATGAAACCCCCCCTTTAAAAAGCCCTGTTTTTCTGCTTAAGGGCAGGATGGTGACCTTTGAGATGCTAGTCTCCTACCATCCACATTTGCCACAAATTAATAAACTTCTCTTTCCTTTTTCCTCAAACCACTTGTCTGAGTTCTTCATTCTCATTGATTCAGCCTGGGACAAGTACCAAGCTTTCAGTAACAGCGTCTTTTTGAACAACCCATTTGTGAAAGATAAAATCTCTTGAGATCTTGGCTCTTTTGGCAGCTGGGGCATTGCAGGTTTTGATTGATATCTTCAAAATATATAGGTTGTCCATCAAGGTATTTCAGATGACTATGATTATGAAGCTGGGTATACACAATTACCAACTATAGTGATATGTATTTATATATTTCACATTTGACCTATTTATGAATGCAGTTCACCTGCTCATAACTGTTATACCTGTGTGACTGTTGTTAGTATACCTAAGTGTTTATGCATGCAAAAAATACTGCCTATTTTATTGTGTAGAGTGGCCTATAGAATGTTCTGCTATGTTTTTATGTTACTCAAATAAATCCCCCTTTAAAAATATAAATAATACATTTAAAATTTTTTTAAAATTATTTTTCCATAACTTAATTTTCCAGATTCTGATATTTTGGGACTTCAACATTCAGGATTATGTATTAAGGATTGTGTATTTCAGGATTATGATGTTTTCCTGAACATTATAACACATGAATATATAACCTACCAGAATGCAAAAAAACAGCATATTTTTCAAAAACACTATTTTCCTTCCCTTTCTAACAATGCAAGCTAATTTTGTGCTTGCTTTGCAGGATTTACACCAACATTCCTTTTTCATTTGTTAATGGAAAAAATCCCAACTCTGTAAGATAATGTAAGAGGTTTATTCTGAGCTGTGTGTGTGTGTGACCAAGGGCCAAGAGCACATGGCCCCAAGAGGTCCTGAGAAAATGCATCCAAGACAGCTAGATTACAATTTGGTTTTATATATTGGTGGAGACAGGAATTACACATAAAATCATACATCAGTATGTGGAAGGCATACATTGGTTTGGCCTTCAAAAAGGCAGGACATCTCAAAGTGGATTGAGGGGGTAGGGAGTGTTATGGGTTATAGGTGGGTTTAAAGTTTCCTTGATTTTTAATTGGTTGAAGAAATGAAGCTTCATCTAAAGGCTTGAGATATGTTAAGTTATGATAAGAGAGTCTTTTAATCAGAGACAAGCCACTGGACATGTACCAAGACTCAAGTGATCGCTTAAGTAAACTGATGGCCTACCAGTGTGCTTTAAGCTTTGTCTTGCATGGCTTTGGGTCCTGTGTTAATGATTCAGTATTATATTGTATAAAGAGTAACTCCAAAAGGGGGGAGATACAACAAGGCATGTCTTGGCCTCCCTTCTCATCATGGACAGCAACTTAGCTTTAAGGTTTTTCTGGGGTCCCCTTGGCCAAGAGGGGGTCTGTTCAGTTGGCTGAGGCACTTAAGAGTTTATTTTAGTTCACACATTCTACAGTAAAATTCTCTGTGTGAAATGCACTGTGGTGTGTATTTTTTCTTAATGGTGTGGATTTCCTTTAAAGTATGATTCAAAAGATATGAAGAACTGCTGTGTCAGTGGTCAAGCAGCAAAAGCTTGAACACTGTTGAGATTGCATTAAAGGTGAGCTATGCAGTATCTGGGATGAAACACCTGATCTTTCATTTTGTTTTAAAAGAAATATATAAAGAAACAATAGGTAAAATTATAAAAAAATATTTCCAAAAGGTTTAGGAATGATGGAAGTCTAATTCAAGTAAACAAGTCATTTTAAATGAATTTGTGAGTAAAACACTGATGTTTAAAGCCAGTACTAAGAGTCTCTGTTTCTATTATAATTACTTCTATGCTATATAACACAGACAATGTCTTCTTTGCCTGGATCTGGGACAAGGAAAGCTTGTATCTAAAAGAAACAGGTAATTAACATTAAAAACAGCTGTAACTGAGGAATAAGAGAGGGCTTTGTATTTTCCAATTAGAAGCAAATGGCATAATTCCAATATGAGCCTTAAGTTGTAATTCACAGAGACAGACACAAAATTACCAGCATTGATTTGTGATTAAACTACTATTCACATGAGCAACTAACTATATGACATGTATTTCTCAGGTGAGTAGCAGCAGGAATATACTCATTTCACGATGGGAAATCATTTTCCTCAGGAGTGAGGGGAGGGGTCAGCTAATCAAACATTAAATTCATATGGCTGACAAAAGAGTCAACGGGCTTATGATTGTACTATGGGATAAAGAGTTATTCCCAAGGGTTTAGCTATCTACTAACATAATACTATACAGTATTTTTTAAGAGTGATTTAATCTTTTTTTAAAAAAATTAAATCAAAAAGTAGACCTTAAGAGCTATCTAGCAAATGGATCTTATAATAACCACAAAAATGAGCTAAATTATCCACATAATTCCATGTTCTAGTTTACACTAAGTAGTGTGTGTGTGTGTGTGTGTGTGACTTGAAGATTCACAGTCAATGACACTGATGGGGCTAAGAAAACAGTAATCTAAAATGAGGGCCTCAGAAGCAAAAATTCTTCTCTGACCTTCCTTGTCCTCCTGCCTCTTAGTCCCATTCTTCTCCGAGGCTAGCCATAGAAACTGGAATCCCTTTTCCCGAAGGCAGAATGTAAAAGCCAGAAACCTTTTCCTAAAAGCCAGCCATAAAACCTAAAATTATTCTATCTGAAAACTGGCCATAAAGAAATTATCTGACCTACTTTGTTTGTAGGCCATAAGACCCCCTATTTCAGACAGGGCTCTGCCCCACACCCCAAAGGAAGGAATGCGTGCTCAGAGAGGCCAAGAAGAATACAGACAGACAGGTCGTGCTGGGTTTCTCCACTAAGTCTGTTAGCATTAGATGATACACTTTTTTGTCCAATCATATTTTTGTATGGCTGTCCATGCTTTGTTGAACTTAAGCATAAAATTGGATAATTTTCCCTGTATCTTTGTGTTTTCATTATGAAGTTTACGTATATATGCATCATAATAAATAAGCTTTTCTGTTATGAATCTGTTTTATTCTGAGTTGATTTTTCACTGAACCTTCTGAGAGAAAAGAGGAAGTTCTCCCTTTGCCCCAACAACATTTAATTTATGTCATGTAAGAATGGAAAGGTGATTCCTCTGTTTTGACAAATCTCCATGTATTTTTGCTCCTATTGAGATCTTTTATAAGTATTTTATTTTTTTGCAAATAAACCAAAAATAAACTTAGCCAAAAAATAGTCTAGGAAAGTTGTTGTTACTCCTCAAGGAAAGAAAATGGTAAGTTATTTTCACAAGTTAATACTAAATTTTTTAAAAAGAATTTTTACATGGGCAAATATAGCAGTGTTTCAACAGTTGCTATGGTCAGAACATCCTACCTGTAGTAGAATCTATAGAGAGAGCAAGTACCTTAAGCCTATTTTCAAAGGGTGTAGCCTCTCTAGCCAGCCACAATTCAAAGGGGAAACAGTGGGAACCTTCTCAGCAGATGGGATGGCATAATGTGGCTGGGACTGAGGATTTGCATGAATATGAATTACAAATAGCACAGATAACATGGTATTCAAAAGCTGTTAGGAATCTTGAATGTCAAAGTCATTTAGCTGACATTTGGAGGGACATAATTACCTTAAGAACATGGAAATGGATTGGTCTAAATTGCATGGGCAGAGAATCAGAGGACACACAATGGTATTGCTTTGGCAATAATTGTGACAAGTGGGCATGGCCAAGTGAGCCAAGAATGGCACACATTAATGCAGTGACATTTTTTCAATGTGTGCTGCCCTTTCAGAAATATGTATATGAGGCCTAAATAACCTCTGACCCATTATAAAATAAAGGGAGACAAAAAAAAAAAAAAAAGAAAAGAAAAGCAAAAAACAACAAGCTACCATAAGCTCTATCACTGGTTGTCTAAAGAAAAGAATTCATTCACATTTCATACACAGACATTTATATATTTCAAATGTTTAAACTACTTTTAACAATTTTAGATCTCAAAGTACTATCATTTATCATAGGTTTACTTGCGATTTACTAAATAGTCCTTAGAGTATTTGCATTGGAGAGGTTCACAGTTCCTGATTTTAGAAAATTATGCCATTACCTATATTTCCAATATATATTCACATAAATTATCAATCCTAAATTTCATATGTAGTTATAAAGAAAAACATTTTCCATCAATTTCTCATTTATTAAGGTGCATAAAAAGATGTTTGAAATGGGAGACACTGTAAGATCCTTAGAAAGTGTACCAGACATAGCACACATACTCTCAGGTCAGATCATGTTTTCCTGAAAGAGATAATTTATCACAGGTGGTAGGGACATTTTTTAAAAGGCATCTTTTGCTTCCTAACTTTTGTCATTGGTGCTAGGTCTTCCATATCAAGTGTGATATTAAAGGACACTGAAAGAAAGTAATGCTCCATTAACATTTCATTAGATAATCACATATCATTTCTGAAATATTGATTAAAATTTCAACAGTAGTGATGCAATGAACACTTTAATATCTATCCACTAAATTTGCAAATTCTAATTAATATTTCATTTTCAAAAATGAATGAGATACTTGATTACTTTCATAGATCAATATCTCAGACTGTAATAACATTAGGAGCCCCAGCAAGTAGACTTCAATTTATGCTTCTATTTAACTCCATTCTGAGGCCAGCCCTGATGAAACCAGAACTCACTGATCATCATTTCTTCCTATCTGCAATAGCACCTGTGATCTACTTCACACCATTTCACACTTATGCACTCCTGTATTGTTTACTATCCTCTCATACATATCAAACTTTTCTCGTCAGTTGAAATATATAAATTATTTATGGAAGGATTAATATTAAGGATGGAATAGTTACTGATAGAATTTGTTGGTAGGTGGGAAAACACTGATTGATGTGTGGTAATGAAAACAAGAAGCATCAGTTACCTATTGTATGTTAGGAACTATGCTGAAATCTGGAATAAAAAAACAGATCACTTGCAGTCACTCCTATAAAGGAAATCACA